TCCTAAATTTAAGCTGAGCCTCTGGAATTGTTACGAGGCATCGTTGAATGATCTACCCAAAACTAACAACGCGTTGAAGGCTGGCATCGAGGATTCAGCTCTCTTTTAGGAGCAAATCATCCATCTCTTTGGAAATTCATTGAGGGTCTGCAAAATTAGCAGAGCCTAAATGAATTCCAAATCAACCAGTACATTGCTAGATTACCACCAGGCACCAGCACAGAGACGACGGTGTTATCGAGACACAGCATTGCGAATTAAAGAAATCGTTAAAGACTATGGGAATCGCGACACCTCCGATTATTTTCAGGGAATTGCTCATAATTTTCAATTCCAATCTTGTTAAATGTCCAAGTTTAGGGTCCACTCGTCGTTTTAAAAAATGTCCTTTTTAGGACATAAAAAGGCTCTTTTCAGAGCTAAAAAATATTTATTATTAAAAAAAACTAGGCAACAACGAGTTACGTATTTTATTTTTAATTATTTAATAACATAATTAATTTTCCAAAATTTTCAGTTTCATATTAGTTAATTTTTATTCTTATATTAGTCCCATAGAAACACATTCGTTTTGTAAAAAAACATACCATCGGCGTATTTACTATCGGCGTAGATACTCGTCGGCATTTTTTCCGTCGGCGTCGATACTAGTCGGCGTAGATGCCGTCGGCGTAGATACCGTCGGCGTCGATGCTATCGGCGTAGATACCGTCGGCGTAAAGACATGATACCGTACAGTGAATCAAATAGACCATGTACTTATAGATACAAGATTTAGATCCAGTATAGCGGATGTGAGGAGCTACCGAGGGGCAGACTGCGACACGGACCGCTTTATAGTCGTCTCCAGGTTTAGACTCAAACTAAAGAAGAATTACTCGACTGGAAAGACGGCAGCCAAATTCAACTTAGAAAACTTAAAAATCGATGAAGGAAGGGAAAAATACATACAAGCAGTTGGAAAAGAGTTATTAGAGAGACGACAACATGAGGCCACGGATAACTGGATTATGGTACAAGAAGCCATAAAAATAGCCGCCAAGAACACGATTGGAGAGACAAAAAATCAAAGAAAACCCTGGTATAATAATACATGTAAGAACGCAGTAAAAAAACGAAACGAAGCAAGATTAAAATACCTCAGTCTCCAAACGCAAGAGGCAAAAGAAACCTTTGAACATGAGCGAAGAAAGTGCAAAGGCATTATACAAAAAGAAAAAAGAACTTATATGAACAATGTGTTACGTAGTACTGAACAAGATTATTCACAAGGAAAAATTAGACAATTTTTCCAGAAGACCAAAAGATATAAGATATTTAACCCAAGCTTGAAAGCTATTAGAGATAAGGATAATAAAACAATCTTAATGGATCCCCAAGAGAAAACAACTAGATGGCGCGAATATTTTGAAGAATTACTAAACAGTGAACTACCTGAGGTACCAATACCGGAGTGGACTGGTCATACAGCTGATGCAGTAGTGGAAGACCTATGTATAGAAGAAACTAAAAGAGCCATCAATAGCCTAAAAGATTGGAAATCTCCAGGATCTGACGGGATACCAGCAGAATTAATTAAGTACGGAGGCGAGGAATTACATAAGATTATTCATGAAATCTGTAACAAAGTTTGGAAAACAGAAGTGCTGACAAATGATTGGAAAAAAGCCATAATAATCCCACTATATAAAAAAGGTGACAAACTCAATTGCAACAATTACAGAGGAATATCTTTACTGAACTCTGCATATAAAATATTCTCAAAGATTTTGCTAAAACGCCTTGAACCAATAGCCGACAAATGCATTGGAGAATACCAGAGTGGCTTTTGTAAGGGTAAGTCGACAATTGACCAGCTAACAATAGTGGGGCAATTAATAGAAAAAAAATACGAGTTTAGACAAAACATTTGGCAAGTGTTTGTCGACTTCAGAAAAGCATACGATAGCATACACCGCGATAGTCTTTACAATATTATGCAAGAATTTGGTATCCCGAGGAAACTTATCGCTCAAACAAGGATGTGCATGAATGACACGAAATATCAAGTGAGAGTAGACCAAACGTTGTCCGAAGAATTTGAAGTCAAAACTGGGTTGAAACAAGGGGACTCGCTTTCACCACTATTATTTAACATAGCATTAGAGAAAATAATACGTAGTGTAAAAAATAACAACCTGGGAACCAATATAGGTACCACACAAATTGATGTACTAGGATTTGCTGACGATTTAAACCTAATTGGTGATAGCATGGAAATAGTTGAACAGAATATAAACACACTTGTAGAAGGTGCTAAATCAGTCGGATTAAAAATAAACCAAGATAAAACGAAAGTAATGGAATTACTTCCCAATGGGGAAGAAAGCGTGGTTATCAATGACTATACTTTTGAGAAAGTTAAAGAGTTCAAGTATATTGGAACGACGATTACCAATAACAATGATTGGAGTACCGAAATCATAAGTCGTATACGCAAGGCAGAGAGGACCTATTTCGCGTTACATAAATTTTTCAAATCAAAATTATTTTCCAGAAGGACTAAGATCAGATTGTACATGACCATAATAAGACCAATGATTACCTATGGTTGTGAAATATGGCCCACTACCATACAGTTAGAAAAAAGGCTGCTAGTTTTTGAAAATAAAATATTGAGGAAGATTTGTGGTCCAGTGTTTGATAGTGAGCTAAATAATTGGCGTAGAAGAAAAAATACTGAACTAAGAGATATCACTGAAGTTCCACTATTAACAAGCCACATTAAGTGTCAAAGACTCAAATGGTTTGGTCATACCATGCGGAAAACAGAAACCACTAATACGAGAGCAGTGATGGAGTGGCAACCGACAGGGAAAAGACCAAGAGGGAGGCCTAGAAAGCGATGGATGGATGGAATAAGAAAGGACTTAGAAACATTGGAAGTGACAAATTGGGAAGATGGAGTTCAGGATCGTGATTATTGGAGAACGGTGACGGTGGCGGCAAAAATTCTTAAAGAATTGTAAAGCCAAGAGAAGAAGAAGAAAAAGAAGAATGTGCCGGAATCGCTGTGGAAATCGTCACAATTGCCGACCAGCACCGACAGTCGCCGAAACGCTGTGGTTGGTTGAGTGGGAGCGATTGAGTGGGAGATGCGCGAAATCGGACGAGTTTTGGTCGAATAGCAGTACCGATTACGGAGTAAATAACAAATTTTTTTTTTACGTTTTTAACAAAAAAATTAAAAATATCCTCCGATTTTCTGTGTAAAACCACCTTGGGTAGCATAGGTAAAATGTGATTGCTTCAATAACTAAAAATACACATTTAAAAACAAAAAATTAGTAAAAAAAAAAGTAGTTTTATGTTATTTTTATCGAAGATACCATGATGTTTTAAAAAATCAATTGTTTTCCAGTTTTTTTTTTAGTATAACTTCCGTAATAAAAAATAGTGACAATTTTTTCAAACACATTCAAATTCAGTGCTTTAAGACACTCATTTTGAAAATAAAAATTTGAAAACGAGCTTGGGCCGTGAAATAGATTCATACCTATTTTAATATGAATAGTGAAAACAAAAAAATTATAATAATAAAAGATGTTATTTTAAAACTAAATTGTGATTAAATAACTAGCCAAATTGTCATTGGTTACCAATTATGGTATTTGACTCGCTTTACTCACCTCAGAGCTCGATAAGTAGACTATAGTAGACAGAAGTGGTTTGTTGTGTTTACCGTATTTAGATATTTAAATTTGAAAGAAATAATTAACAATTAATCAACTATCGAATTCGAAGAACAATAATTCTTGGTGGATTTCCTCTACCTAGCAAAGGTATCATCAAAAATAGTTTTTGGTAATTTTTCCTTGAGATTTTAGAAACTACCATAGTATATAGGTAGAATTACACGGGTTCTTATGGGGGATATATTTGCTACACCTGTTAGGATATCAGTGTAGCCTGTATAGAGATAATAACCAATTATATAACCACAGAATGTTCTGTGGTACCGTATTAACTATTGATACTATAAAGATGCTAATTAAATAAAATCTTTTTATGCTCAAAATCTAAAATGACATCACAGATATAAAATACTATATTTTATATCTGTGAATGACATAAATCTTGTGAAAACCATGGAGGTAGGGAAGTATATAATAATATATTCATCAGAAATATTAAAAATATACTTAATGTTTATGAGCTTTTAAGTCCTAAATATGTGTGCATAATTGAATAAGATATATTTGTTTTATATTTATTATTTTAAGAAAATTAGTAGACTCATTACATTACATTCACCTAAAGCAGTATATTAAGCTACAGTCCTAAATTAAATATATGTATAATTAATAGTACCACATCAATCATAATGAATTTCGTAGGTTTTCTTATTTTCATTAGCTAGAAATTGGGGATGGGCATTAAACAAAAATTAATAACATATATCATAGTTAATAAAATCTAAACAAATATATTTTTAAGTACCATGCATCAAATCATAATATAATAATAGACTACATAACTATGAAATAAGATAATTAAGTATGTATACATTTATTTATCTATTGTAATATCACAACATAATCAATAAAAATCAGTAATTGCATAAAATACATAATTTAGTTTATTTTATATTATTGACTTCAATATTTTGAAATAAAAATAGGAATAAAATAGGTATGTTAAACAATTTAAAAATATTGTTAATTGTTCAAGTGTTCAAGTGTCATCTATAACAAATTGTAAAATACAAACTATTTTTAATAAAATGCTTTTCATTGTATTTAATCAAATAATCAAACTATAAGCCAACTATGTTGATAATAAATTGATTTAATTACAGTAGAATAGACAGGAATAATTTTCCATGGTTAAAACATATTGCTCAGCTATTATATAAAATTAAATAATAATAGTTTGATATTGTATAGATATAAAATTAAAACTAAAAATATTAATAGATGAGCTTAATACAACTTATTAAATACTTTGAATGATTATGAAGTTTAAAATTCACGTTCTGGTAATATAATTGGTGCCACTAATGTCCAAACATAAAGCCCAGCACAAACCCAACAAGATAATATCTTAATCCATGTAGAAGCATAATCTGGATGAAGGTTGTCTAAGCTGGAGTTAGGTCTAATAGAAAATAAAATTAGATAATATTAATACATGAATAACATGACAGATTCACAAAATCAATATACTACAGAAATATACTATTTATACTTACGAATACCAATTTGTGAGTGTCATCATCAGAAATAAAGTGGCCATTGCAAATGTGAAGTGATAAAATGACCATGAATAAGCAACTCCTTCTTTTTCATCATCAAATAGTTTACCAGAGTTATCATCGTTGTCCGATACAGGTCCTCCTTCAAGATCACTATCATTGCCTACTACAATAGTTAAAATACAAATATACTGTATATTTAAGTATTAAACACTAATTAACACTCACTTCTTTCAGTAGAAGTACTCATGGAGAATTTTGAGGATGATCCTGTTTTTATAGCCGAGTATAGTACAAATAAAACAAAAATGCCTATGCTGATGAAATTTTCTGAACCCAAATGAACTTTAGAACCATCTGAATTGGACAAACTCAAGACTTCTGACAAGCTCTTATTACATTGAGTTTCTAATTAAAAATTTTAATTAATAAAAGTTGTATATTCCGATTTTTTTAATAACAAATGAATAAGATATACCTGGACCACTATTGAGTGCCGACCAAGTAAGATACACTACATACAAGCTAACAATAGACGATTGCAATAACCCTGATTTTTCATGAACACGTTGTACACATGAAGTAATTGATATCGAACTAATAATTAAGCATATTACGACCGTTAATATGATGAAAAATTTATTCAAAGCACATCCATTTTCCTAAAAAAAAATTGTAATACTATTTTAAATATCATGAATCATAAGAAATTAAAATGTACTAATCAAAATATTTTTAAATTTATTTACAAGTGGCCACAATTTTAATGAATGCATTGTTTGTTGAATAATAAGTAATTAAAAAATTATATCTAAAATTGATTGCAAACACATTTCATAAATATTTACTTATGTAATAAAACAACCAAATTGTAATAATGAATAAAAGATAACCTGATTTTTAATTAAGTGTTTTTGATTTATTGATAGCTTACCTATAACTGAATAGTTTTAAACAAAAGTTTACAAAATGTTTAAAATATACCTATATTTGTTCTCTTGAAAAGTTAAAACACGACATCACAACTCATAAGTAAACGTTTTTAAATATTTATCATGGACATTTGGTTATTATAATATGTATTATAAATGTAGACTGAGTAGTGTTACTACTAACACTAAACTACAAAAGTTTGAATACTGATATGATAATTTAATTTTGTTTATTTTTACCTGGGTAAAACTGTGATACATAAAAATAACTCCAGTAATTGCTAGTCCATATGATACAACTGTAGTAAATAGTAACGCAAAATACCTAAAATTAAGAAATTCAAAATTTATTTTAAAAAGTAATTATTTGATATTGAAGTAGAACTTTCAACTTGCCATTTTTTATCTTCAGTTTGTTCCCATTTGTCCAGCCATGATTCAGCCAATGAATGAGCAGAATCTAAAACTTGTACAAACTGGAGGATAAGATAAATGAAACCTCCAATCATACCACAAATCATCCATATATGACTAAAGCTTCCTGGCGCTATGAAAAATGAACCTACAATACCAGCAAACACAATGAGATATTTCAATCCCCAAAATCTAATAAAACAAAAAAAACATGTATTATTATTTTCCTATACATGAACTACAATAAAAATGAGAATAAATTTCAAAATGTTACCCGTTTTGTATGGGGGCTCTTCCATCTCGAGAATTTTTCACACCCATCATAATAAATGACAAGAGTGTAAAGAATATGAACATGGCAAAACAAATTCTATACACCGCCATGTAGCCAACAGCATTTTTACAATCAATTGAAACGCCAGATATAGTACTGACATAGTTACTAGTCAAGCCAGAGTTGTGATCACCCTCACAAAATGGTACCTAAACATAAGATGTTGATAAATTTTACCAAGTAAAAGTATTCAATACAAATAGTCGAATCACCTTTTGTAAAAATGATTGTAGTCCAGGGGCCAATGTGATACAACTTAAAACGATAGCTACGAGTAACATGAGGCCGTACATCACTTTTGTCGAAGTAGAATTGCCGCAGGACGGGCAACACGCAAAGAGGGAGCATGCTGCTTGACCGCAACAACATGCCAGCTTAAAAATGTAAAAAAATAATGTATTATGATTTTAAGATAGGTGAGGTACTGCGCACAATAATGCTCAATAATTAATAACACTCACTTGACCAACTGTGCACAATGAAAATAAAGCACCCATCTTCGACGACGGTTGTTGTTTGAGTTTCAAGCGAAAGTCGTATCCCTAGTAGAAATAAAATCAACAATTATTATTAATGTCTGGCCTACTCCGGAGACCACCGATCGTAAACAACGAAGTGTATGTCGGATTGATTTCTTTGTTCCTAAAGTGTTCAATAATCCACAACTTTTGTTCGATACTACAACAATAATAATACTTATAATAATATTTATGTAGGAATTATTTACTTTGTGATGTTTAGTAATAATCACGGTAGGCGATAAGGTCATATGGAACATGGGATATCAATTTAATTGGAGGATAAACCGAATAATCTCGAATTTTGGACCAATCAGAAACACGAAAAATAGATAATAATAATGAGTTTACTATCCTCCATGAAATGTCGGGAGAAGCACACTGATGCCCATTTATAGCTGCTGCCTGCTTTGGTGTACAACTTTACTGGTGTATTACAGTCAAGGTTTTTAGATTATAGGTACCTTGTATTACAGCCATAGACATATTAATATGTCTATGATTACAGCACAGAACAATAATGATTACAGTAACGTCGTAGTGATAGGTAGTTTTATTACTTTGTTACTTTTTAGTGTAGATACTAGATAGTACTATCTACAGCCACAGTCATGGCTAGACGCTAGTGTCTAACCAGTTGTAGGCAGTACCTATAAAATATAATATTGGCGTTCGCCTATTCACCATTCACTATTCGGCAATTTTTATTCCCGCTATGAAACTATCCATTTATATTTAAATATTATACATTATTATCCCTTCCATCAATCATCAACATGTTATACCTCCTCGCGTACCAATAGAAACAATTTTTTGTCATAGTATGAAAAAAAACATTACGACATCCGAAGGTCAACCACTCAAGTGATCTGGTGGTCGCCTTTTGCTACTTCAATAATTATTAAAGTTCCTGTATAAATAGGTATACAAACTGTTATGGCGTTTATTTAACTATATTTTGTCTATTAGTTAGGTCGATGGCTAATTATTAAATCATTTTATATTGGTTTATTATATTTAAAATTGTTTCTTGGTAGGTACATCATAAAATCATAATTTTTTTGTATTTAAATTTTAAATATTGTTCATATTACACATAATTTAAAATCAAATCATAATATTTTATAGACTACCTATAATTAGTATTGAAAACATGAGTCTCACAGACACTGTTGGCAAGTGTGCAGCTATTGCAACTATTGGAACATTCTTTGCTCCTGTGTAAGTACCTACATAATTTAATTTAAAGTAATACTTAGTATTTTCCAATAATTAAAATCGAAAAAATTGACCCAATCACATTTTGAAGTCTTGTTACAGTTACCTATATGTTTTAATTTAAAATACCTGTATCCTCTAAATTTTCTGAAAAAAAATTACTCATAATTATATGTTTTAACCCTTTTAGTGTACAAACCTACTATTACGTCCAAAACATTTACACCATTCCCTGCTCCAGACGTACTATTACGTTCCTGTATTTTAAAATATTATCATTTGTCGGTGACTATACAACTAAGGAAACCCTAGATCGCATTATTTGAAACTTGAAACATCTCAAAAAAAAAAAATTTTTAAAAATAAACACCTATTTTATTTACCTAGAATACACAGGTTGCAGTGCATACATAGTGTAGCAGTGAAAAGGCAGTAAATAGCTTACTAAGATGAATTCTTAATAGTAAAGTAATACTTTATTTAGTTATTTTTATGATGATTTTCTTTTTTTCATATTTTTGTTCTTATTATACTCAATGTTGGGTAAATTACTTTAGAATATAAATAAAATTGTTCCATTAAATATTTTTATTTAAATTACATTGGCGTTACCCATCTTTATTTTTATCACGTTATTTTTTCATTCAAAAAGTTGGGCACTACAAATAATGTTACTTTTTTTAAAAAATAATTACAAAATCAGCCCATAATAAATAATTAATAGTAGGTAGGTACATTGTTAATAACTTAATGTTATACAAAAACAAAATGTATAAGTATTAATCCCTGGGATCTTTAACAATATTGTTGATTATTATTTATTATAAAACCATTTGGAATCGTAAATAAATTGTATTGATTTTTAATTTACTCAAATATACTAGTCCCTAGTTTTTGTCATACATTCTACATTTATAACTTATTTTATTAACGTGGAAGAATATACGTTACTTCATCAAAATTACTTTTAAAATGTAATTTTGTTACAATTACATTCATTTAAATAAAATATAATGAAATTACTACAGCATTGCTGCAAAAGTAACTTTGTTACAGTAATTTGTAATTTGCATTACGTTACTACCCAACACTGATTATATTTGTTTAAATATAATAGATATATTGGTAATAGAAAAAAGTAAAAGGCGTCTAAATATAGTTTTATTCAATATACTTAATCAATGGTTATACTTCATACTTGAATACATTTTAAGAATTTAGATAGACTACCTATCAAAATGATACAAAAATATTTTTATACACCTGATTTCATAGTTTTTTGTTACCTTTTGAGTACTATGAACTAGTTGATTGTTTCTCCATCTTACAGATGTAGATCATACTTAGTTTACATTGAGCAGAATACATTTTATGTTACCTTTAATATAATAATATATGGAGATTTAATATTATTTTTCTTTAAAACTAATTGGGATCAGTGGCGCACATTGGAGGGTTCAAGGGTAGCAGTCGCTACCCCTGATTTCTCGGTAGGTGGGTGGGTGGACCCCCTGGCTCCAAAATGTTTAAATCTTAAAAATTCTACTACGTATAAAAATATTGAAAATAAACTATTGAATAATTATAGAATATAGCCATTGCCTATTAGCCTATTAGCCAATATAGAGGTAACCGATTCGATATGCTACTCCTATTTATTTTTGAGGATGCCACTGATTGGGATATTGGAAATATTAAGTTTATTAATGCTTAATAATAGTTATTATTAATTAACAAGACCGACATTTTATGGGGTACATTTGTACATTTTATGATTTTATAATTAAATAGGTTGTCAATAATTTAAGTATTCTAAATAAACATTGCAAAAAAAGTTTAAACGTTTATCTATTTATTATTATTATTTATTCTATTCTGTGGTTGAAAGTGAAGTGCCAAAAAATACTTAATCTACAACTTATATAATGATGTCATATTAATTATATATTAATTTATCATATATTTACCTATATTGAATAAAATTAATAAAATAACCAAACATCATTGTTATTAATAGTCCATCATAGTGTCATACTTAATAAAGTGTACCTACTTGAAGATTATTTATAATTGTGATTTGTGAACTGAAAAGGAGTAAAAGATTGTTGAATTTGCTGTGCATCATAATTTATAATTATTTTATAAGTTATAATCAGGAATGGGATTTTATAACATTTAAATTGTATACATTTTATAATATTCACTTAAATATTGTGAAATATATAACAATAATAAAATACAGCTATACAAATTTTTAATTTTCAATCATATAATTTAGTGACTGATTGGAATCTTGAAGGACTATGAAATAATGACATAATTAGTCTGTCAACAAAGCTGGAGTGTAATAATTTAGGTTTTGTTAAAAAAAATTGAATCAATGTATTAGTATGCGATTAACAATAATTGACAGACATTTTCATTAGTTTATTAAATATGACAGCTTTTGATTAGAAAATAAGATAAAATGTTAAAACATCTAAAAAAGTTTCAAAAATAGTACTCTAATGTTTAAAAATTGTGGGTGTCGCAATGATATTATTGTGAATAAATAAAGTAATTTATATTTAACCTATACCTATACGTGGAACTTTGTTTTAAATTTTTTATTCTTAGCTACAAAAGTTGAACAATTTATACATTTTCAATTTTATAAATTTCGTCAACATTTGAACTTTAAATGATTATAAAAAAAAATGTGCCAAAGTATTTTTAATATTTTACATAATATGCTATTGTAACAATATATCAGGAGCCTTGTATAAAATTTTTACTTTTTTTTATCCACAAAAAAAATTTTATTGATATTCATAGAAAAAAAAAACTAAAAATATTTATAGTTAGTGTCATCATTGAGTGGCTTCTTCCCTCATATAACTCATGTTTTTTATTACTCTTATCTAATTTGCTTATTGTTCTCTGAATAGATTGTAAATATCTTGTAAAAATAAAAAAAAATTTAATTTAAAATTGTCAGTAAACTGATCAAAATAAGTGAAAATATTTAGAAAACAAGTGAATATTCAATGTTATATAATTTGAACTTCAAACGCTCATAAAAATTTAATTTGACTTTCTTGTAGACATTTTTTTTGATAAAAGTATACAAAATTATGAAGAGCCTTGTGTTACATTTTAAATACTCAGATTAAAAAAAAAAAAATGTTTGAATTATGAATTTTCAATTAAAAATAAACTCCTCTTAAAATCTAAAATTGCAAAATACTCCAAAAATTCTATTGTATCATAAATATAATTTTAAGAATTACATTGCTAGTTTTTAAGCATCTTGCCTATATCAAATAAGAAAATACTAGTAAATCCGTTGCCAGGGTTATGATAACATATTGTTTATTTAATAGAACAAAAGTAATTTAGAATAATATATTCTACTCAGTGAATGCATATAAATTAAAAAAAAATATATAATTGATGAAATCTTTAATTAATATCCACCATAAAATTAAAATATACCTAGTCAATAGATTTACTAGTTTAGATTTAAATGCTGCTAATTATATTTTTTAAGGTATATCTAAGTAGCAAATATTTAATTTAAATAATATTTAGTTGTACTTGGTAAGGTTATTGGTATTAACTAATTTACAAAATTAATTCCAAAGCATGCACATGTCTTACACATTTAACAAATATGTGGGCACTGGGCTTAACATAATTATATTATAGTAGATGACTTTGACTATCTATAATTCTATTTTAATATTATAATTGTTTTGTTTAAAAACCTTAATCAATAGTTTAAAAAAAACGTCTAGTTGTAAATTAATTAGTCTAGAATGTATTTATATTGCATATTATATATTCATATAATCATATACAAGGTGACTATTTTATAAACTGTTTAATATTTATTAAGTAACTGTTTCATATTCTGCTTTGGAATATGAAATTAAGACTATGTTGTCATTCAAAAAAGTAAATACAAAAAAAAAAATATAAGGATAAAGCATATTTAAAAATATGACTTTTTAATAAAAACGTTGTTTTTTTAACAAATTGAAACTATGTAAAACAATATTTTCAAAAACATTAATGTTTTTTAAAATAATGAGTGTTTTGCGGTAAAAGAATCACCTTGTATAGGTACATAATATATTATGTATTAATTTATTCAAGTTACATAATTTTATATTGATATTATATTTAGTTTTAAAAAAAAATTATATTTACTAACCTTTTTCTATGCAGTTATTAATACTAAACGTATCTTATTCTCAATATTTAACCTATTATAACCTTAATAAAACAAGACAAAAAAACGTACAAAAATATATTTATTGATTAGCTTAAAATTCTTAAAATTGAATAGTTTATATTTCACTGTTTCAGTCTTATATGTCGAGATATAATAAAAAATAAAAGCACCAAGAATGTTGATCCTACACCTTTTATTGGAGGTATGGCTATGTAAGTATTATATTAATTGTTTTAATTTATTTGTTCATCTAATCACTGTAATTTAATTTGTTTAGGTCTATACTTATGATCAAAAATGGATTACTTATGAATGATCCTAATATTATACCAGTTAACATTTTTGGATTTATATTAAACTTGATTTATTTTTTAGTGTTTTATTTTTTTACTGCTGATTCGGTAAATATATTACTGTTATTTTTTCATAACTTATGTTTGTCTAAATATTATAACGATTATATATTTATAGAAACCATTATTGTCAATGTTAACTAAAGCTACATTATTCACTGGTGTACTATGGGGATATTCAACAATTGAAAATGAAAAACTAATTGAATACCGTTTTGGAGTTATTCTCACTGTATTAATGTTGGCACTTATTGGATCTCCTTTATTTTCTTTGGTAAATTTATCTAAGTACCACATATTTTCCTAATAAAAAAAAATAAAAAAAACAAGCATGATTATTGTTAATAATTAGGTTGTTATATAATTTGATAGGCTTATTATTATTTATTTACATAAAATAACGTTCATGTTTTTTCTCATATAACATTTTTGCATAGTAAATTATAAAGTTAATTAATTTGAAATTAGAGAAAAATTAAATAGCAATATTTTTAATTGTTTTATTTTGTAAATAGTTTTTAGAACCTATGTTTATATTTACATATTTATTCTATAATCTGTACCATCAGTAAATTTTATACTCTGGCCAACAAGGGTAGAACGCTGTACCTCAGCAAACATTTTTCCAGTTTACACACATGGCAGTATGTCATAGACAGAGAAAAATAATGCATCTTATGTTTGAAAAGTTGAAACCGATTTCTTCTCTTGTAGGCTAAAGAATAAAACACCTATTGAATATCGGCTATTAGTATATTACTTATATAGTTATATGTGATGATTTATTTTACAGAATGATATCATTAAAAATAAAGATGCATCAATGCTACCTTTTCCAATGATTGCTTCTGGAAGCTTTGTTGCATTCTTGTGGTTAATATATGGATTGTTAATAGACAACATTTTTATTAAGGTATAATAAAAAATCCTATTTCGATATGCATTTATACTTAAGTTCTTTCTTTTGCAGGTTCAAAACATTGTAGCTGTTATATTGTGTTTGATCCAATTAGGATTAATATTTAAATATCCTAAACCGGAAAGCAAGAAACTTGATTAATTAACCTAGTTATCAATTTAATGTAGCATTTATTTATGTGTACTGTGAGTAACTTATGTATCCTTTAATATTATATTAATATAATATCCTTACATTTCCATTATTTTAAGTACTATTTTCTGTACTTAATTAGTCATTGACAGCTTTAAATTCTTAAATTCCAAAATTTTATTATCAAAGTAATAGATATTAATTATGTGCCATTTTTTGTTTTAAATATTATTATATTTATTAAATATTATTATACAAGTTACAAATAATCAAAATCATTCCAATAAACTAAATTAATTTAGTTACTTATTTCACTGTTGTTAAGTTGTTTAAATTATTGTGATCATAAATAAAATGTTGGATATTAAATGTCTTGTATTACAATTAATTAATTTGTTCAAACAAAAACTCATATAGGTATTCTATACAATAATTTATTTCTGCTTGGTAGGTACATGTTTATGTTGTTTTGTATCTTTTTAAAATTAAATACTGAGGTTGAAGTAAGTACCTACTCAGTAGGATTTGATACCGACCAATCTAGTGTGTTAGTTGTCGGTTGTTGGAAATTATTGTAATAATTTATTAATATATTAACTACACTTATATGTTGTTAAATAAATTATTTAAACACATTTGGTAAACACTTTTCACGAAACAATTAAATTGAATTAATTCTATTTTAGTTATTCTAGTTCTAGTTTTATAAGTCTATATGTATATAACGCACCTTAAGAGAACGTAACACTGGAATTTAAAAATGTTGCCTCTGTTTTGAGAGAGCGTAACATGGCAAATTTATGCTCAGCTGACCACGTTTAATCTCGTTAGTTTAAAAATTAGAGTGAAACGACCTATTATGAAACTTGATGATAAGAACATTATCTGTATTTGTATAATTGTAGTTTTTTTACAATAATTCAGTTTTTAAGTGAGTTATGTGCATATTTAATTTACGCTATATTATATGGGTAAGCTAAAATTGCTAAAAAAATTGAGCTAGATTACAAAAAACACACATACTGCAAACACAGAATATATAATCATGATATAGAAAACTACTACTACTTTTTTATCATGTATATAATGACCAGATTATTTCAGTTTCATACTAATTACTAGGTCGATTCACTCTACATTTTAAACTAACAAAGCTAAACATGATCAGTAGAGCCATAGTGGAGTGTAAATTTGGTATATTGTTACGGACGTGTAAGACGGAGACAATAAATGCCAGTGTTACGTCCTTATAAATATTTTATTTTATTGATTTTAAACCCGGGGCTATATGAGCTGTTAAAGGAGTTATGAACTATGGTATAGCCATAGAACAGTAGTATAGGTAAGGTTGGTACGATAAGGTGTTGTTACAGTAGAAACACGTAATAAGCACGTTGTAAGCAAAAACGTGTATGTGTCGCATTTGCCAACGCGCTGTGCCAAACCACAATTTAAATATTTATTAAGTCCAAAGTTGTTTAATGCCTTAAGGGGATTCGATACCCTGATTTTCTGTTTTTGTCTAACACACACGCGACATAGTATTTTAGACTGGTTCTTTGCTCAACATGGTACTACATACCAATTGATCTAATGAAACGATAAAAATTCTAAAAACAAATTTGAATTTGTCGTCAAGTTTACTTGAAATCGACTTTCCCACATTTTTGAATTTTTGATTTTACTTCTCCAAAAATAAAATACTACAATTTTAGATTCTGAGTAGAACGATGAATGTATTGATTTTACAATGATGTGTGTTTTTATTCTTTGTTTTTTTATTTATTTTATTTGAGTCTGTGTACCGTGTACGATAACTGATAAGTAACGATAAGTAGTAGAACTAAATACTAATGCTTCGATTTTCAACTTCAGTCTCTTGTTCGAATGGAAAGTGAATATCGACATATCGTTGGGGCATTGGGGAGGTCAAAATTTAAAATTCCCAGTAATTTTCAAAAGCGCTAAGAAAAACAAAAGAAATACGGGAATTTTTACGCAAAATCTGTTTTCGAGAAAATCGATTTTGGTTTTTGGTGTAACTTTAAAACAAACGACTATAGATAAGTGAAATTTTCACTGGTTGTTTATATTTCCATTTTCTATACACGATAACATTTTCTAAATATTTTGATTTATTTTGAACTGTTTAGGAACATTTTCATTTTCCAAATTATTTTAAGTTAAGAATTCGTAAAAATTTTTCTTTTTAAATCTAAGGTTTTAAAATGTATTAAAAGATTCCTCATAAGTTTGTCTACCTTTATCAAATAAAAAATGTCTAAAAGAAAGTCAAATTAAATTTTTATGAGCGTTTTAAATTCAAATTTTTACAACATTGGATATTCACTCGATTTCTCATGTAGCGATTTCCTTATTTTTTTGTAATTCAAAAACGAATAACTGTAGATACATGAAAATTTCACTGAATGTTTATATTAGCATTTCCTATACACCATACAATTTTTAAAATATTTTGACTCTTTTTGAGCTGTAAACAGACATTGTCAGTTTTCAATTTTTTTAGTTTTTTTTTTTTTCTATGAATATCAATAAAGTTTTGTCTGTTGGGCCAAAAAGTGTAAAAATTTAATAGAATTCTCCTGATATATTGTTACAATATCAGTTAAAAAATATTTAAAATACATAGGCAAATTTTTTTTTTATAAGCATTCAAAAATCGAATTTTGACAAAATTTATCAAAATCTCGAAAAATATCAATCATTGTAATTAATAAATTATAAAATGTTCAGTTTTTATAGCTAAGGATTGCAAATCCTATTGTAGGTCATTTTTTTGTTTAATATCATAGATATGTACGTATATGTCTTATACCTAGACTAGCTGACATACAGTCTCCCCTCAGAATCGTTTTTCTTATACAATGATATTATATCGTTGAATTCAAATTTAATATCATCCATTATACAGTGACCCACTTGTAACCTACTGTACAGCAGAGCGACACCCACTTGCCCACCTTTTTATTAATTTAACTTGTTGATTATTTTGTATGAAACGTTTAATATTTGAATTGCAGCAGGTATCCCTTCAAATTTAACACAATCCATTTCAATTGTGTAGGTACTAGGTAGGTACATAGTGGAATGTTTCAATGTTTGGAAAGTTGGACCAAGCAGAAATATAATAACCAGGAATCCTAAAATATGTTAAGATCGTTCGAACTATAACTTTACTGATAAAATAATCACCCTTCTAATAGGCATACGCGTAGTTTAATATATATTATCTCAACTTTAAATACGATGTACGACAAGGTTGTGTAAGTTTCCGCACCACCTGTTGGCTGTTGGATTGTTGAATGACAAGATAATATAATATCATATCGTAATTATAATTAAAATAGTTAATAAATTTAATAATACACAATTCGAAAAAAACACAATATTCATTATTCACTTACGATCGTCATTTAAAAGATACAATTCAACAATATATTAAGAAATTAATTTTCTTTTAGCGCTATAAGAATGATCGTCATATGAATGAACATTTAAAACACTTGTATTATTTAGTAAGGATTTTCTTATTATATTACCTACCTTCACTCGACAACAATTGATGAAACTCAAGTTTATTTTTTTTATTTTTAGTAAAGAAACGTGGTTGTTTTTCAATATTTTTTTTATGTTAATTGTATTTATATCTTCAGTTTGCATAGGCTTTGATTCGTTTGTAAGTAATTCAATAATTTATTATAATATCTATAAAATATTATTAAATTACTGAATAAATATTATGTTAGTTAGATAGTTATGCTTATGTTACTATAATAACATTATTTTTATAACAATATTTGTGTACTGTAATAATAATAATATCATTACACAATTGCTATCTGGGTATTAGTTCGAATTTTGAAAATATTTATCAAATTTAAAATTGTATTATATAATTTAACTTTTATAGCTAAAGATTGAAAATTTAAAATAATGTTCCACGTAAATAGGTTGTACATTTATACTGTACCTATTCTCAATGAATTGTGTATTTTTAAATTTTAAATTACGATATTGTGTTTTTTAATAACTTATTAACTTTTAATGTATTTAACTATTTTAATTATAATTAATGTAATAAAATATAATATTATAATTTAAAATGAAAATTATGTTATCGGTTTATCAATGTTATCACATTTTGATAACTGCAAAAAAGGGGCTAAATGTAGGCAATATTATATACGGACACAAAACATTTTTTCCTGCGAAGATCCATTCGTAAAAATGCTCGACTTATCTATATACTATATACTATATCACTAACCACTAACACCAACTACCAACAGAATTCTTTATTCATCGACTTCCATTTAAACCTGCTTCCAAGACGCCTCATAATACATATATGATATATATAACATAGTAGGTAGTTCAAAGGTAGTGGACTGCAGGGTGGCTTAGCAAAACCAACGAGTGCAGTGCGTGGTGGGTATAAGTGTGTAAATTGGTTTATGAGTTTATGTATTTATGTGTATAGTTTTACTGTGTGAGGTTTCTGGTAGTATAAAATATGTTGCTGTATAATAGTATTGGGAATTCTAATATACATACGGGCTTTTCTTGGGTGAAAAATTGGACACATACTAGTTGCGGACGAATTATTCAGGTTAGGAATTATAATATAACAATTGCGGACACGAGTTTCGTTGTCATAATACTAATTGCGTACAGAGCTTTTTTTAATAAAAACTACTTTAGTTGTGAACACAAATATTTCCCTTCACCACTTTTTCAGGACTTATGACAAAAGCTAAAAAAAAAATGTTTTAAAATGTTGTTGAATTATAGATTGTTTTAATTTTGTGGAAAAAATTGTTTATAAAATATTTATAGATTATCGTCATAGTTTTTAAAACAGCCTGTATATATGATATTCTACTGAATTCACCACGTGAATATTGTAACATTATCCCCAATTAGTATCTTATATTTGTGTCCGCAATTCGTATGTTACCTTTTTAGATTACGTCCGCAACTCACATGGT